GGCAATCACAGCCTTGGACCTAAACAACCACTTCAAGAGGACCTGAGAGATCTTCACAAAGTTCTTTTAAGTAGGAAAAGGGAAAATTCCCATCCTCTTTTGGCTGAGACTCGCAGGTTTAGAACCGCATTGTTTGAGAGCATCAGAAAGCGTGGGGACACAGCAGGGAGGGAAAATGGCACAAGAATGAACTCTCATTCCCCAGAACGATGGATCACTGCAAAAGGGCTATTTTGGTGCTGGCCCAACAGCATCAGACAAGGCCTGCAGCAGGCAGCGAGACCACGAGCAGCAGGGAAAGGCATTTCAGTGCACAGAACTGAAAAGGATCACAGACGTGTTTTTCACTCTCCTTTTGTGCCTTGCTTTCAAAAAGGAGCACATCCAGCTTTTCTCCTTGTAGTAAGACTTCTTTTTCTTTTCCTCTTTTAAAGAAATGAGCTTTGCCAGAGGAGGACTGTGAGACCACCTTAGGAGCCCCAAGATCCAGCCCCATCCCCTACCTGTGTAAATACGCTCCATCCATGCTGCAGAGCAACGTTTCTGCGTGGAGTAAAGAAATCAAAGGAAACCTCTGGGACAATTACCCAGAGCAGCAAGCAAGGCTTGGGGGGGGGCGGGGGGGGGATAAAAGGATTTAAAACTCATTTGCTTTGATACAGAATTTAGAAAATCCTCAAAAAGATTTTGAAAGCATTCATTGCAGATTTTCCTTTGCTTCCAACCTGACACACAAACTACATGAATGCCTGTAAAAATCCACACACCGGGCTAAATTTTGCTCATGGTTACAGACACATTTTCCTTCTTTCCAGCATCCCAGCTGGTAGCAGTTTCAGCAGGGCCTGACACAGAGAGCTCCATAGTTCAGTCTTGGGAGTCACTATGAAGTTTTGCTTTAATTCTAGTGCAGGAAAAATCCAAAAAACACCAACCCCCTCATCACACATAGAAGCTGCTTATAGAAGCAGAACGTCAGAGAAACCCCCATCTCTTGGAGGACACAGGTTCACCACAGAAATGGAATGGACCAGGGGAGTTATCCACACATTTCTGTTGAGTGTTCAGCAGGAAAACTATTAATGGCACGGATGTCGAGTTCTTACTGTTGGATTTCAGAAATATGAAGTGGTTCTCAGTGCACAAAAAGAAAGATGAACAGCTGCACAGTGAGGAACGGTGTGGTCACAGCAGTAGGGAAAGGAGAGAGCATTTTTCTTCCTGCAGAGAAAAGCCTCAGGTCTACCAGCAGCAATGTTTCCGTGTGTAGCTTCACTTCCTCTGTCTAAAGCAGCACTGCCACTTCTCTGCCTCATTCTATGGTTTATCTTAAGCACTTTCAGCTATCAACTCAAATAACAAGCATTCCATAAAATTATAGGATGGCCAGGGTTGGAAGGGACCTCAAGGATCATGAATCCCCAACCCCCTGCCAGACGCAGGGCCACCAACCTCCACATTCCACACCAGCCCAGGCTGCCCAGGGCCCCATCCAACCTGGCCTTGAACACCTCCAGGGATGGACGGGGCATCCACAGCCTCTCTGGGCAGCTGTTCCAGCACCTCACCACTCTCCTGGTAAAGGGATTTGAGATTAGTTTTTCCAAGGCAGACAGAAAGGTACATGGGACAGGAACAAGCTGTGTTAACTGCCACCATGCCCTGTGCATGCAGAAAGAACATGTGATAGAGCTGCATGTGTCCAACCCAACCTCCACCAACACGTAGCATCCCAAGCAACTACAGACTTCAGCTTCGGGCCTCCTGTGCTGCGTTGGAAAAGCAGAGCATCTTGTGTTGTGTCTGACCTCTGTGTAAAACAAACAAACAAAAAAAAAAGCAAGCAATTATCTAGCAAACTTAAGTGACTTTGCAGTTTGTTGTCCGAGCAAACTGATGTTGAACTGGTAACTCTTGTGTTTGCTGCTGAACATCTGCCTTCAATTCCTTCTCAAAGCTCAGCCTTCAGCTTCTTGGATGCTCTTCTGGTAATCTGGAATACATCACTGGAAAAAGCATGGATCAGAGAGGCAGCACAGATACATGGAGAACATTATTCAAAACACTACAGATAAATTATTAGAAATCCAGCTGTCAGCATCACACACAACTTCATTCTCCTGACTTGCAGAACCTCCCTGCAGTTTCTACTTCATCCACCCTCTGCCAGATTACCAGCAGATGTGCTTTCACCCTATTGACCACAGAGCACCCCCTGCAACTTGTGATAAACCTCCTTCTCTTTTCAGCACCCTTTAAGCCCATGTTTTTTCCCCTTGCTCATCTCAGATGACCATTTCCCTGTCAAATGGGCACAAAATTGGCACAAACCAGGGATTCCAGGGTACAGGGTGTATGAGTGGAGAACACAATCCTTGATGAACCAAACACAGCTGTGACCAGAAGCCTCACAGACCATAGGAACTTCTCACAAGTGCCTCTCCTTCGTTCTTCTTCACATCATTTCAGGTCATAAAAAACACTGCTGCTTTAAATCCTTGCTCCAGACAGATGCTCCCATAAGGTGTGCTTAGGTCCACCCATTTTACTTTAATAGTAGTGTTAATTCAGAGCCACATGACATCAGTAGCTGATCCCACTGCCACCACAGCAAACCAGGGAATCAGGTCTGTTTCCATTTTACCCATTATGTGATGACAGAAGCAAGTCCTTGAGTTTCAGCTCCCTGTACACACAACAGAAGTGTTTATCTGGCAAATACCTTAAAAAGACATTGTTCTTCTTGCAAGGATATCAGTAAATTTCAGGCTGATTAACCACAGAATGACTCTATAGCTCTCCTAGGACCTTCAGTGATGGCTTTCAGACTTTCATGGTCAGGGCTGGAGGAGGTGTTGCATCTTCGCTACTGAAAGAAACAGGCCTACAATAGCTGAGATCACTTGAACAAAGCATAAAAGCTCACAAATACAGAAGACGTGGAGAAGAGCAACCCAACTGCATCACTGTGCTCTTAACTGCTCAGCTCTTACCCAGCCCACTCAAACAGGGATTCCCTTCAGTGCCAAATGAAAATCCAGCTCCCACATCTCCACCAGCACCATGCAGCCAAGTTGCATCTCACTGAGGAAAGCATGTAGAAACAGAACTGTTTGCCTCCCAGTTATCCATGCCTGCACACAGGCCCGTGGCAAAGCTGCACCTTGCTCTGTTAGGAAATCCATTTCTAAGCTGCTTACTTACATTCAGCAGTACAACAAAACCCAATTTTTTATTTTTTTTTTCTCCTCTGAACACAGGACTGTACTTCAAACCCATCAGCCTGGCAAGCAACAATAGGCACAAAACACAGACAGTGGATGATATTTGTTTTTGAAGGTACACTGGTAAGAAAGTGGAGGTTCTTATGTTTGCTTTCAATAAACAAGTATCTGCTCCTGGACACAGCAGACTTACGTGCCAGCAAAGTCCACATCAAGAGGTTTTCCACTCCATTAGCCATCAACACCAACACCAGGGGGCTTTCATGTCGAGAGACAAAATACACCTATTTAGTGTCCATAGTCATCAGACCTCACATACAATGGGTTTGGTTTACTTCAATGTTAACAAATGCTTTGATCCAAATCTAGTGAAACTGAACTCTGCATTTAACCCACTAAATCAGCCTCAGCTTGCATTTTTAAGATGGATGATGAATTTTTACAGACAATAAAATTATTTGAGTCAGGAAAGCATGCATGCAAAGAGCAGTGAATTGTTTCTTAGTTATTTTAGTAGGTCACTGAAAAAAGGCAACCAGCACTTCCCCAGTTTTACTGCCAACAGGAGAATGCCTATTTGCTAGAGAAAAAAACAAGAATACAACAATAATGTTACAAGAGGCACTGATCCTGGCTTTATTCACTTTAAGATACATCCAACATTTGTTATAGCTCACTTGGAATTCATAATGCTTTTAAGAAACCAACTATAAAAATCTTGATTTTTGCCTTACAGTGCTGTCAAGTTTTCAAATAGCAGTAAGTGACTTCCCAGCAAAACTGTGCTGTGCATTAACATACGTACAAAGATTAAAACTTCGTAGAAACCCTTCAGTTTCGGATACTTCGTGTTCACAATCACCACAGTTTTCCCAAAGGAGGAAGCAACTCCGCAAAGCCGCAGGGATGCAAGCCAACAGTCCTGAGCTACTGCACCTCAACCTGACTGCACCATTTTATAGATGGGTTAAATGAAAACAACTTCTACCTATTTCCCCGCCCCCCCCCCCCCCCCGTACAGTACTCACAAAGGGCTCACCCTCCATTTGCAACTTTGTACTTGGCAACTTTAAGAAAAGTTCTGCAGCACTAGAGAGAACAAGTTAGGGCAGCACTGTGTGCATCCCCCCACAATTACTGATACTGGCTGCTAGTGGAGAGAGGTACCTGACTTACAACCAATAGGTGACACTGCTTATTCTGGAATACAAACTCCTTGGCAGTACGTTCCATAAATTCAAGATTTACCCAGAAGTGTGTCGCAGCCATCAATCAATGATGTCACCTACTTTTCTATTTTTGCTGCATTTAAATATATATTTTTAAAGTGTTGAAGAGTGCAGGACTTAATATAAACATTTCTCTATTGGAAATTGCAAAATTTAGTACTGTGATACTATGAAAGCTTATGATAGCTTATCAATTCTGTGTTAACACTCAGCATCCATACGGTGTCTGAACTAGCTCAAGCTACAGTCTGCTAATAAAGCAGCATCAACCTGTCCTGATGTCACTGCCTGTAGCCAACATGTTCCCATTCTAAAGTGGCTACAAAAGCACAAGCAGTTCTTATGGTGGTACATCACCCCTGTTCTGCGACTCATCTCTGCTTAACGACAGCCTACCTAAAGATCGACTCCTTACACAAAACTGAAATAATCCTAACCTTCCATCTAAGTCTCGGGCACAGCTCAGTGACATGATCTGCAGAACAGAACACCATTCCCAGGAACTGTTTAGAGCAGAAACTAAAGGAAAAACCCAAATCGAAGACGCTCACTGTTACAGTATCTTTAATTTATCTCGTGTTTTACAGAAGTCTGAATGGATTAAAAAGCACCTCCTTTCCCATCGCATTCCTTACAGTTGGTAAAATATATTCAATGAGCAAATGTATGTGAACAGCTTGAGGATCTGCAACTTGCAAGGATTTCACAGACCAATCAATCAAAAGCCAAATTTCTTGTAGTTTTTACAATCTTTTTTTTAATACAATGGTAAGTAAATCCATTCCGATTGCAAACCTGTCCAGTCATATCTCCCCAGAACACTTTGCAAAATCCAGTGTTGATTAGCAAACTAGTTAGCTTTGGCACGGAGCTGTGCTCTCTTGCCTGTGACAGCCTGGAAACCAGTTTTGATGCTGGCGACGGAGCAGCGGGAGTGACAAGTCTCACACTGCAAGAAATATAACCTGGTGTCCTTCTGTAGAATCGTGTCTGGTGACCGACACGTGTGACAGGTGACATACTCCTCTGCAGGAAAGGAATTGAGTTCCAGTTAAAAGGTCATGAATCACCAGCAGGAAACAAACAGACACACTCCACCAGTTCTTCAGCCTTTAGTTTAACAGTTGTTCTCAAAGGCTGTTTAAATTGATCTACTGAATTAGAAGGGCTTACTGTGAAAATCACAGAGGTTGAGATAACCTAAAAATTCCTCCCAGCTCCCAGGTTAACAAAGAGAGGGTTTCATCTGGTACATCGTGCACAGGCACCAGTGCTTTAAAAATGACCATCAGTTCAAGCTTCTCTCTGGCTCCCCATGACTTTCTTTGCTGAAAATACATTCCCAGTCATCAGCAAACCTTGTGAAGATACAGCACTGTCTCAATCACTTGCACTGTTTTCCTCGGCACATTTCAGTGCCAGGACAGATTACTGCCCAGGTACTTGCTATAATACAGTACATCAACCTTCACTTGCATTATCCCATTACAAAGTAACAGCAAAACCACCACTTGTTAGCACAGACTCTCCACAACATGCAAATATGCAGGAGCCTGTGGGCTATACACAGACCTCTAGTCACCAAATGGGGTCTGGGAGAAAGCTGTAGGGGAAAAGGAAATCACACTTACTGATATATCTTCTCAAGACATTTTCTATCTGTTTTTGCTGGAATCTTCCTTTGATTACAAGCTGGTTGTTACCATCTATTGAGCCACTAGGTTAAAAGAAAAAGGAATGTGAAGTAATTGATTTACAAAAGACATCAAATGTTAAAAAGTGTATGAACTCAGGAACGTGAAGCGAGATAAGTGATGCATTCAAGGTAAGTAAGCCAGAATTACTTCATGGGGAAAATAGCATGTAAAATTCTGACAGCACTTTAAAATCTACACAAAGGTCACACAAACACAATGCTAACAGCAATAAAAACAAGATCAACTGAGAGATCAGTTTTGTAGTGAAGCTGCCAAATCAAGAACTGAGAATCAGTACCTGCTTGTCTCACAGAAGTGACCAAGACAACACTGCTATTCTGCCTTACCAAGACCCTCTCCTAGCCACCCTGACACAATAAACTGAACATTTCCAGACTACAGTTTGCAAGTTTTTTTTCCAAATCATCTGAAACTGAAGTGAGACTTTGTTACATCCACACTGCAATTAGATGGCTTGATTCTGTATGTCTACATAACAGTGTTTGAATCCACAAGACAGAAAGGAGTAGACAACAAGAAAGTACATTATCACAGCATGAGATCCTTTATATCAAAGGCCTTTAAAAGCACAAGCATTTTTTATGCTAAGACAAGAGAATTTTACGCATGGCATTAGAGTGACTAGCCACAGGCCCTCAAAACTTCTATCAGATGGGCAGATATTCTCTCTTCCTTAGCAATTACATGCCTTAAGGTAATTATGAGCCATCCTCACCAACTGAGTCAATCAGCTCTGTGACTGGATCATTTTTTGAGAGAAGTCCTGGTTAACAAATCCAAAGCGTTATCCTAACTGTCCCCAGGACTGAGAGCTTGCCTCTTCCATGAGCTGCCCTCTCTTCAATCACCCAGCACAGCATCTGGGTGTAGGAAAGGAGAGCCTGATGTTCAAGCACGTATAAACAGATCTAAAATGAGGAATCTTACACTCGATCAATGACAACTACCCTGCCATTGCTTCCTGCATACACGACTTACAGCCCCATAGCCTTACCTTGTACCCAATTCTGCCAACAAAAATGCCAGGAGATGTTTTGGCTGACGATGTAATCTAAAAATAAAAGTAAGGATATCTTTAACCTCTGTCCTCCAGAGGAATTTGATACCTATATAGAAACGGCAGGCGAAAATGATCTTAAATTATCCAATTTAAAAGGGCAGTGCCAGAGGGCCTGTACCAAACAGCAGAGGCAGACAATGAACTGAGGGCACAGGAAAGTTGAACAGTCCACACACATGCACACATACACACACACGCACACACACACCATAATTGAGAGGAATTACTGAAATTAAGTTGAAAGCAAATTTTGTGTATCTCAGATTTGCCATTCAACCCCTTTGCTATCCTCTGTGCTCTGCAAAAGCACTGATAGCAACCTCTCAAATTCTACTGTAGCCTATCATGCAGATACTCAGTATGTTTGTCTGGACACCTACAAAACAAAACAGATGTGTGCTCCTGGAAGCGCCCACGATGAACTGAAGTAATTAGGACAAGAAGCATAGGAATAACAGTACTGAACTCCATGGATTTATCAAGAGAACAGCACTTGCAGCTTATCTCACAATTAGAAGGAATATTCATCCCTCCTCCTGTATCCGAAGCCTTGCAAATAAACGCCACTGGAGACCCAACTACAAACTTGCTACAAGTGTTTCAGCCCACAAGATCCATGAAGCCTATCCTACTGGTAACCGAAGTCCAACTTGATGGTTGGACTGCATGATCCTGAAGGTCTTTTCCAACCTTGGTGATTCTGTGATTTCTGTGATAAAGTACAAAGTAAGAAATTCCATCGTCTTCATAAACGCTGTACCAAGAAAAAAATCCAGGAAATGAACAGTGTGCCAAGATAGCTTCCACTTTGGTCTGTCTTCTGTCAGAAAGCACATATTCAATAGCTAACAGCACAGGAAGTTCTACTATGCTTGACAAACGTTAAGAGCAACACTTACAATTTGCAGATATCTGTAAAGTTGACAAAGGATGTTTTCTTGGTCCCTACTCTCACCACCTGCGGAGGCTTCATGACAAATTTCCTCTTTTCTCCAGCTACCATATCTGGGTTTTTCTCCCGCATGATGTTAAATACTCTATTGAGCAACTGCAAAAACAAGCAAATCATCATTCAAGCGACACGAGACATTCCCACTGCAGTACATCATTCTAAAATCCTGAGATAGCATTCATCAATGAGTATTAGACCAAATTCGCCCACGAGCATCTTCCTGAAAGCTTCTGAACACAGTTAAAATGTCCTGATAAATGCAAAGACTGAAAGATGCTTTCACAGGAGTTTACTTTATAATTTCCAGGTACCCCAGCCTGCTTGCAGAAGTCACTTTAAATATCATTAACGTGCCCCATACAAAAGTCAACTGTGACAAAAGATGCTCTTTTGTTATTTTTGTGTTCACAAGTGTCTGAGTAGAAGCCTTTAATTTTAAGTTGGAAGGAGGACATATGAACGTAAGGCTCTGCTCTGACATAGCACATTAACATGAAAGATACCTTGAAAGCCTTTTAACATTACCTCATCATATGTGTAGTCCCTTTCTGAGCCTGCCCACGCAGGTCCTGACTGAAGGCTAAAAGAAATGCCATCATCTTTTTTGCTATCTTCATCCTCAAAAGCTGGAAAGAAAGTTGTATGGGATTCATTAAGAAAAAAACCATTTACTTAACCTTGAGTGCACAGCATTTCTCAAAGGTACATCAACAGAAGATTTTACTGAGACGTGAAATCTCTCTTCATCTGGCCAGAAGGGCTACCAGCATTTAATGGGGGATTTAGGCTCCTTCCATAGAAGATTTTTCTGATAAACATGACAGTGATAAGAGTAACAAAATTAATTTTTAGAATAAAAGATACCCAAGCAAGTTATTCACCCTCAAAATGGCCTTTCCAGTTTCAAAACTGGATTAACTACATTATACTTTTACCTTCATCCTTTTCCAATATTTCATCTTCATCTGGAAACTTCACAAACTTTTTCTTCTTCTTCTTATTGCCCAGCATGATGTCAAGGTCATCTTCAGGTTCTACCACCTCTGGCACATCTCCCTCAATTTTTAATTCCTACAAAAAAAAAAAATAAAAAAAATTCAGACTGCAGCATCCAGTATTAAACATAAAAATCTTCACTATACAGCATTAGAAACCATCTAGTATAGTGTGCTACCAGTATAAGGATTAGCATTACCTACCACAGTCCTGAAACATACAGAAAAGAACAGAAACTAAAGTTTGTTGAGGAGAGCCCTGCACTAAACAGGGACACGTTTTTCAAATGTCAAGCTGAGCTACGAGGAACACGCACCTACCACATGCCACATTTCTGCATTGAAACTGTATCTAGTCTATGCTACTTCCTTTGGAACTCACTGCTCCCTTGTAGATAATGAATGCAGACAAGAAACTTCGAGTTAACATTGGCTGATCAGAAACAAGGTAACACTGTATTTCACTAAAGGCAGCAGCAAGTCAGGGTGCAGGGGAACAAAACCCCCTACGAGCCACAGACACTACAGAGAAGCAAAGCTGTGCTACCTCATAAGTCTAATTTATCACATTCCTTTCCTAGCTCTGATACCACAATCCTTTCCCGGATGCAGGCATGTTCCTGCACCACAGAGAACACAGCAAGCATTTGGGCTATTCGGGTCAGATCAGAGGGGCTCTTCCTCCGCAGAAGGCAAAATCCAATAGCAGGTCTACATGTAACATAACATTTATTTGCTCTCTGGGTTTTCCAGGGACACCGACACGCGATACTAAATGATGACTTGGAATAAAACTTGAGAAGAGTAAAAATACCTCGCACAATTTCTGGAACACAGAACAGTAGCCAACCATTTCTAAAGAAAACACGAGAGTAAAAACAGATCAAAGCAGATAAATACTCTTTATTTGAAGAGTGGCCTTCAGAGGATTGTTGTGTGCAGTCTGACACCATCTATCTTCCTCTCACCTCATCAGGGAGCTAACCTAGGTGATAATCTGCCCTTCCTGCAAGTCACAGAATTACTGGCTTACTGCAAATATCTGTTACATTTTCTCCTTTCCAGACAAATGTCTCTGTGCACTAACATATTCAGCAGAATTACCACACAGGAAGGACACACTGAGATTCCTGTTAACTGCACCAAGACGAGATGTCAGATAGGAGACAGCTCCTCACCAGACAATCCCCAGAAAAATGAAAGCAAGAAAGTTTCTGGCAAAAGACAAGATGGCCTGGTAATGAAAACCAACCTTTACACCTTCTTCTGCTTCATCTATATCAAATATCTTCTTCGGCTTCTTCTTCTTTTTCTTTTGATTGAAGAAGTTCAAATCATCCAAGTCATCTGTTGCATCTAACAACAAATGATTGGCAAAGGTACAGATGTTAACAACCACAGCAACAGTCCAGACTTTACGGTTTCCAATTCACACCCAAAGTCTTCAGAACATGACAGCAAGAAACAAACAGTAATCTGCAGCTCCTACAGATGTGCTTCATATTTTGGAAGTCATTCTCATCTATCCCTAGACACTGCAAGAGCTGTTTTACAATTTCCATATCTTACAACTGCATTTTCTTATTTTCAAGTGTTGAATCTTTCTGTTACACAAGAGGAATTAGTTACTTCTGAAATTATTTTGGAAACACTGGAAAAGCTAAAAGAAAATTGCAGGAGAAAAGCACAGTTTCTTTGGTTGATGGTTGGAACCAATCTTAACAAGAAAAAAAAATGGATTTAAGTTCATAGCATTCCTTTACTCAAGTCATCTTGAAATGGCATTGGTCTCAACTTAAAGGCCAAGTCACATATACACACATAAGCTTATTTCCAAAAAAGATTATGAGTAACAATCTTGCTGTTGCATTCACAGCTGCCCAAAAACTAGAAAGCCTTTTAACCATATCTCTATTATTCACATTACAGCTTAATTGGAGAAATATTGCAACAACTGCATCCAGAATCATTTACAACTGTTTTAGGGCTTCTTTTTCCATGGTCTCACACAGTGATTCTATTTGAGTCAAAAAAAAAAGCAGAATTAACATGAGCTGTATGTTTGTGAACACGGTTTTAGGCAGGAGAAGCAAATCAGGTTTCTCAAATAAGAGATTATTACTATTGACAAGCTCCTAAACTAGAAACTCAGCATTATTTGTTATGATACCATGCTCTCAAAATGGGGTTTCCAGTCTCAAAATACAGAGGCCCCCTAGAGATTCATTTTACCTTTCTTCCTGCTGTCTTCTTCATCTGCTTCAACATCTTTGTCTTCTGTTGGCTCTGGTTCTACTTCTTTTGTTTCTGACTGCTGAGTCTCTTCTGTTTGTGTATCTGCTCCTTCCTCATCCAACATAAACGGCTTCTTCTTCCTCTTCTTCTTCTTGCTCATAGTAGGATCGAAAATCATCTATAAAAATCAAGAGTTCATTAGCAATATAATGACCTGGCACCACCTGGCATTTACCATTTCTAAAATCTTCAAGCTTCCCTCCGCGTTCCTTATGTTAACTCATCTGTCCTTCAGCTCCCTTCTCAATCCGGAATTTTTCTGTACCTGCAACAATGTAATACAAGTTCACTGCCTCAAAAATTGAGCTGCTGTAAAAATATAGCTGATCTTCTTCCCAGGCATAACTAAAAAGAGGATTTAAAAGATGAAAGAAAGAAAAGGTCAGAAGATCACTCACCAGCTTCCACTTCTGCCGCTCTTCCCCACACAGCTAAGATTACTCAAGTTTCCTGTTACCTATGTACCAGTTCAGTTGAAAATATATTGCAGCTGTGAACCTTTCAGATCAGAAACTTCTCCATTTCATTGTCATTATGAACTCTGATACTGAAGTAAGGCTGCGTGAAGCAACTGCTGTGCCATTCAGCACTACACACTCAAAGGATTAAGAACACCCATCACACTGAGCACAGTAATTTCCAGATAGATTAAAAGGCAAAACTTACCAACAACTCTCTTGACAAGAACGTTCTGGCCTAGGGAGAACCCTACAAGAAGCTGATGCTACAGCCTGTGTCAGCTCAGTACTATGAAAAAGCAAAGGTCTCACCTCCAAGCTGTTGAGGAGTCCTCAGCCAACAGAGCAGCTTGCTTCAGCTAGTCACTAACCCAGGAATGACTTTTAACCTACTCATCATCTAGATACCTCAGACAATCAGCACAAGTTCTTCACTTCCCCAACACGGGATTGCTTCCTGCTGTTTCTTAACTTAGGTAAAATTTAGGATCATGAATACCCCTCTTTCAGAATAACAACCATTTCAAATGAGAAATTCTCCTACTTCTTGTTCATTACGTCCTCAAAGGTTTTCTTTCCATAAAGCAATCTTTTCCTCGTACTTTTCATTCTCCTACAGGTGACGCTCTTGTGATGTTCTTCTGATTGAAGATACATCTCATAAAGGCTCTGAACTGAGACTCAGATGCAGTACACAGCACCATGTAAATGCCCACAGAAGCCTGAGGCTTTCAGGCTGCCGCAGTGAGCCTTTAGTTGTACACAGCGTGCTTAGAATGGCTTTCTAAAAAGTCCTGTTGGCTGCCTTCCCTCTCAGGCACACGCATGAATCATGCTCCCACAGGGCGGAGCACCCAGCGTGCACAACTGCTTGCACTGTTTGCTGCCTTCCTCTTGGAACTTCTCAGGATGCTGACACAGGAAAGCTGCCTGCATCGGCAAGGGTGGACAGCCTTAGGAACAACCAAGCCAACACCACTTTCAAGATCAAGACTCTTCTGAATGCTGCAACTTTCAGAGACTCCAGACTTGTCTTCTAGATCTCTTGCACGAAGCTGCAGGAATAAGATGATTAAATTGAGTGTAATTGCAAAGCAGGAATCACTCCACATAGAGCCAATCACTCTTCCTAATGAAAAAAATAGAGCCCTCTCATCCTGAACTGCTGTAGGGTATATTTTGTCTCCACAAGAGACTGAGTACATCCTCAGTAGCACACTGAACTAAGGACAGCATTTAGACTCTGGAGACCGTTCCAATGGTGAAAAAATCTGTTCCGCAGATGTGTGTGGCTCTTCAGCTGGCCTTCTGCAGAGGTGCATGGCTCCAACAGCCCACGTGGCTCTACAGGGCCACTGTACCCAATTCCTGCACCCTTCAGCCTGGTCACACCGGGCTAACTGCTCTGAGGAAACTGAATACAGGAGCTGGACATCCTGAGAAGGATATCCATGCCTGAACTATTTTTGATCATCAAGAACTTAAGAGTCCTGCTTAGATCTTACGTAAGTCACACATGACTTAAACAAACAAACAAACAAACAAACAAACAAGCCATGATTTGAAGTAACCAACCTGCTAACCAGGCTTTCTGCCTTCCTGGGCTAGAAACTTCAGGAATTTCTTCATACTTTCTTTCTATTCAGTACACTTGATTAATCAAAGCGTTACGATACCATCTAAGCATGAAAAGTACTGGAAAAGTTGTGGGCCCACTGAAGAGACTGCAGCCTCCAGGCTAAATACACCAAAGCCTACGCTTTTACTACAAAGAAATGAGAAACTGCCATCCTATTTCAGCTCTCAGAGCCAAATTCCCATATGGATTTTCATCTTCCGTAGGCCACACTTTACAGAAATCAAGTGAGTAAAAGATGAGGAAAAATACATATAAAATTACAGCTTCAAGTCCAGCTCCCAAGACAGAAACCCACGTCAAATTGCTGCAATAGTGGCACTTGCTGAAGATTCTACAGAGGTCACAATCCCATTTCATCAGTCTGAATAAACATAGCCATGTCCACCACACACAGACCAAGGCAGTACAGGTATCCCTACACTGCACTGCTCTCTGTGATAGAATTCTAAGTTCTTAATAACTAATCAACACCTAAAGCCTCCAGTTGCTCAGAACAAAGCTTTCTCCAGCGTTATTTCTTTGGAGCTTCACAAAAAGGGCAAGAAAACCTTTCAGTCATCACCTAGTAGGATTTTAGATACGTAATAAGACTTCTAATTAGATAATTAGAGGTTAACATACTGCTCATCACTTGCAAGTTTAGAATTCTGCTCCTCACAAGCAGGATGTGTGCTGTCCCTCCTGTGCCACTCCTGGGCAGCACTCAGACAAGAGCTGGTTCTACCAGGCAGTTTCCCTGCTGTAATGGTCTGAAAATTTCAAGCTATGGTGCAGTGCAACTGCCCATACTTGGAAGAAGTCTGTGATGCAAACCAGACAAAGAAGTCTAACACTTACAGATCTGCCTTCTGAGATTCACGTATCCTCTTCCTCAGCAGCTTTAAAAAACAAAACACAACCATCACCTTAAAAGCTCACCATTAACGGGTGACTTGGCTCCTTGCAGCCATATACTGAGAAGTTATGGGTGCACTCACTCTCAAACACACTATCCAGAAGATCTACAGTGACAGCTCAGCTAGCTACTACCACTTTCATTCTGTCAGTTTGCAAGATGAAGCAAACCAGAGATGCAACTTAACTACACTGATCTCACCTTAGTGTCAGAACAAATGCACCTGAGACAGAAAGCAGCTGAGGTCTTAATTTCTGGAATCAAAGCGCTGTCTTCAAATCACCATGCAATTAGACATAAAAATGCCGGATATTCATTCACAGCAGCTGAATAACGAGTCTCGGCTACCATTACAGTAACTTGTAATTACACTGCTTGCTGTTTATTATGTCAGAGAAGTTGTGAGTTTCTCATCTCCAAGGTTAGAGTGAGCATACTTTGCTCAGAAATAAGCCACAGACGTATCTGAACCAACATCAAAGAAAAATGACCAAAAGCAGCTGTCTCATGGATTCTGTCAGCGCAGTTTCCCACCAGCCACGTCTTCCATCAGGGTGCTCACAGCTTCACACATGGAAAGCTTTCCTTTTCCCATGAGAAAGACTGAAACGAGGTTACCAATGGCTCCAGCCACAACATTTGAAAGACTTCAAAGACGACTGCACACGCTCCTCTGAAAGTAAAACCCACTGCATTTGGACAACCGCCTGGTATCACCTGCTAAGTGACCCACTCAGCTGTCAGGAATGAAAGACGAGATATTAAAGCTGCAAAAAGAGGTTAACACCGCAGTCAAGCGCTATCTCTCAAGGAGCACGAGGCGCCCTAGGGACGCGATGCCGGCACGTCTCCTTCTCTCCCGGCCCCGCCGTGCGGGATACAGCACGGCTCCGGGAGCCGCGAGGCCGCACCGCGAGGAGAGGCCGTGAGGACCCCGAGAAAGGCCCCGAGGACCCCGCGAGAGGCCGAGATCCCGCCGCCCAACCCCGGCCCAGCCCCGGGGCGGAGGCCGCGCCGTGGCCGCCGCAGGCCTCGGGCCCACACTCCCACATGGCGGCGGCCCCGGCCGCGAAACGGCACAGCCCTGGGGCTCGGCTCCCTCCCCGACGGCGTCGAGCCTCACCTCGTCGCCCGACATGGCTGCGGCCGGGCACGGAGCGGGCAATCGGATGAGGAGCGGCGGGGCTCAGGGACGCTGCCGGTCGTTGCCCGCGACCGCCGCGCTCGCCTCTTGCATCAGCGCTCCCCTCCCCCGCAGCGCGCCTGCGCGCCCCGCCGCGGAGCCTGCCGGGAGCTGCGCGTGCGCCGTCGGCTCGCGCGCGGGGCTGTGAGGCCGCCCGGCGCCTCTGGAGAGCTTCCGGCCCGGCCTGCCTGCGGGGCCCCGCGTGGAAGAGCGGCGCTGGCTCATCGACCCCCTGTCAATGCGTGTCGTTTACACGCACTGAGGTCGTCCTCAGCCTTCCGGTTTAGCAATCCCAGCTCACGGCTTCACCTCACATGAGGTGCTTCCCAGCCCCTCACTTCTACCCTGTTCCATTTTCCCCCTAATGGAAGGATTTGCTGTCCACACACGACACCACAAAGTAAGCTTCAGTGTTCTGTTTCCCAACCAGCTCTGAAATTAAAAGGTCATCGATTTCATGCCAGATTTGGTGCTAAAGCAAACGGAGCCATCAGCACAAACATTATTACAGGATGTTTTACATCTCAATGTTTCCAGACCGTTTACTTTCTCCCCTCCCATAACTTCCCATTACACAGTGTAAACTTGCACTGTTCCTTTTTACATTAGCTGCAGATTACACAGGCTGCATCGTTTAACTTTTTTATCAGCTACAAGAAAAGACAGGTGGCCATTGCATACCTTCATCCTTCTTTTCACACAATTTTCTGCTTGCCTCACTTGGAAATGATAACACACAGCAAAGCCATCCATCCAGAGATGCTACCGGAACAGGAATTTCAGCTTTTCCCAGCATAACTATATGTATTTTTTTTTCTAAGAAATTCCTAAAAACCAACTTGAAAAGATGACTTTTCTTTCCTGCTACCACCTCTCTGGGAATTCGCAGCACTTGTGTCATTGTCACTTCTCATCATGTGTCAGGGATAGTGTGGGTTTTACACTTATTCCAAGACAGGGTAGCTATATCTTACGTCATCTCGAATCATATTTGTCTAAGCTGCTCTAAAAACCACAAGGGACAGAGGTTCTCCCTGCAGCCGGTTCGAGTGCCTGACAAATCTCATCCTGGCTGCTGCCAGTTAACGGGATGCCTGTTGCAGTGTCCCCCGAGGACACTGAGGGTCACTGTTCTCCATGGGACAGCCTATAGTCCTTAGGAATACTGCTGTGCCCTTTCCTTTCTTGTTCCAACAGTCTTCCTTTCTGAAAGCTACACAACCATCCCCTCCAGCCCTTTTTCTGAGGTCTTTTTTTTTTTCTCCCCCCTCATTTTCACTTATATCTTCTGCACCTTACTTATGTACATATTTCTTACTCCCAGAACTGGACATAGTACTTGTGTCTGGCTCCTTGGCAGTATGAAATAGAGCAGGATAATTACTCCCAATTAATACATCCCAGCATAGAGTTCACTTTTTTCTTTGTCAATAATTCTTGATGAGCAATTGTAACCCAAAGGTTTCCTCTGGCTGGGCTGCCTTATGAGTAATATATGACATAGTGTTGAGTACATACAGTATATCTAATATTTGGGAAATGCCAGAGGAAAAGCTAGTAGCAACTGCTAGAAGTGCTGTGCTGAAGCTACTTCAGATAGGATCTTCAGATAGGAACCTATGAGGGAGATGCTGTCTTTGAAGCTCCTGGCTGCAGACACTGTAACACCAGAGGCATACCTGGGAGATAGCCTTAAATGATTTTTTTTTCTCCTCCTTCACTGAAAGACCATTCAGGAAGGAGTGCTTTCCTGTTCCACTGTTTTTCGCTTTCTTTGTGAAATAAATAGGTTTGAGAAAATGAAGACTACATCAGTTGTAATTAGTTGTTCCCAGCATCAACAGTTGCCCAAGAACGGCTGGAACTAGTGTCTTTGATCTAATACTGGAGGGGATTAAAAAAAATTAAAAAATTAAAAATTAAAAAAAAAAAAAGTCTACATGAGTTTTGATGAGAAAAGCACACTCTGAGTTCAAAAGATTGTGGAAACACCCAGGTAAAAAGATTTTTATCCCTCTTTCTTATTTTGTTGATAAGAAGCAATCATGAAATTTTAAGAACGAGCTGCATGATGCAGTGTGTCAAATGCAGTTTTAACTTCACCAACTAAATTCAGATACTTAAAACTCAGAGTGCACTGGAAGTGTTACACCTTTACAGTTGTAGTCCAGAAGTGATGGGCAGTCAGTCTGGGATGACTGAACTTCATATGTGACCCTGATCTGAGAGGATGGCACAGCGTAAATCACAGTCATGTGAAATACACTTTTAGAGGCTGTGAACGTTGTCCCTACACACCCCGCAAAAAGACATATTAAATCCTGACCGTTAAAGCTCCCTGTGGTGTTAAAGCCATGCTTTTATACAGTGCCAAAAACTATTATCTAGTACAGAAATGAAGGTCATTGGATTGCACATGGCTGTTTCAATCTTAGCAGTGTTTGCATGCTTTCTGGTGGAGCAAAAAGGAGCAATGTTGTTCTGGACATGGTTAGGTGATAGTTAAAGATCACTTTCTGCACAGAGTGAAGTTAACTCCTCTAAGTGTTGCACGATTTAAGGCTTATATGAAAACTGAATTTATAGTAGATTTATCTTTTGGGTAAGTCCATTTTTTCAGAGTTTGTGCCTAACACTAAATTCTGCTATCAGTAAATAACTTCATTTTAAAATGCCTAGACTAAAGACAACCATAGAGTGAATATTGTTAACCACTAGGCTTAAGCTCACTGACACAGGTTTAACTACTGCCTTTCATGTAAGCTGTCTACAAGATAGGACTGTATTCCTATTTCCACCCCAAAGAGTGGAACATGAGGGGTTCCTGGGATTTCAGATACTCTGATGCACAACAGCATCAAAGAGGGAAATCTGGAGCAAACAGGTTTTGCCCTCAGGATAAGCCTGGAGAATGGATGAAGAAGGATTAGGGGAGCAAATAGTCATACGGAAGATGAAGGCTTTCTGGCAAAGTAGCACAGAAGACCTCTCTGTGAAAGCATCAGACAGGGGAAGCCTGCAGAACTTAATCAGAGCCTGAGGCTGAGGACAGAGATCTGTGTCACATACCAGAGCCAAGACAACAGGGACAGGTGATTTGGGTCTGCTTGTGCAGAGAGGAAACAGCCAAAATGTCTTGAGGGCTTGCTTTTACAACACGTTTTTCACCACTGGTTTGGGAAAGAAAAAAATTGAAAATAACTTCCAAAGCACGGTTAAATTCTTCACAAAGCCATAAGTGCCATAATTGGCCTGAATAAAAATCTACTTTAGATTCCAGAAATGACTCTGCACTGTTGCCAACTGGAGTAAAGAGCAGAATCACTCTCAATCTATCTAAGCAGTGAAGGGAATATTATGCTGGACTACAGCCATATGAGAGTTCACACAGAGTCAAAGGTCTGAGACTTTTGGCAGAATTTTAAACAGTGGTTTTAGATTAGACACGTGGTTTTGGACAGTTTTGGGCAGAGACACAGGCAGCAGACAAAAGAGGGTGAAAGTTATAGTCGAAAGTTTAAGTTGGTGGTAACTGACAGACAGCACACCAATAAGCCAAAGACTGAGGTCTTACAGGCACCTTGGTGAAAGTGTTTTCCTGCAGGAAAGGTGCTGTTCCTAAAAAAGGGCCTTGCTCTGGCACATGGGACTTCAGTGATGTGAACCATTTCTTCCCACCGTGGTGCTTTTAGGGGTGCTGCAGGGCAGAGCAATGGGAGGAAGGTGACTGCCACCCCACGGGTGTTGGTTCCTTCCTGGACTGGGCTGCTATCTAACCTTTCCCAGTATCCGATCCCAAATCACTTGTGAGCCAGGAAATACAACTAATTATATCTCCCTTCAACCTCAAGAAGGGCTGAGAAATCCCCTCCAAACATCCATCTTTCTCCCGCAGACAGCCTGCTCGGCTCCACCCCGTGTCCACATCGCCGACACGAATGTTAAATAACCCTGATCCCCTCCTGAATCCTTCGGAACACCACTTATCGCCCTATCCGCGACAATTCTTCGAGTACAACCGCCCACCCAACTCCTTCCATCCGTCCCACTCGCACCCCTCCACCCACGGCCAGGACGCCGCTCAGGACCGCCTCAGACGCTGCGCAGGCGCCGTCCGCCCCTCCCCGCCGGCTCCCGTCGCCATGCTACGCCGCCAGGGGGCGCCAGAGCCGCGGCCGTGGCGAGGAGGTGGCGGGCCGTGGTGCGCATGCGCAGCTCTGCGCCGGCGGGACCTGTTGGAGCGGGGATCTGTTCCCCTCGGAAGGCTGGTAATAGAGTGGTGTACTCTTGAAAGGCACGTGTAGGTTTAACCACACCGTTCTGGGTTAGAAGAAGGAGCAAGGCAAAGCCTCCCTCCCTTGCTTGTCTCCAGCTCCTGTGCAGAGCCTGTCTGAGAGCTCCTGAGCGACCCGTGAACCACAGGCTGATAGAGCCATAGAACCACAGCGTGATTGAGTTGGGAGAGACCTCACAGTCCCACCCCTGCCATGGCCTGGCTGTCCCACATCAGATCAGGCTGCCCAGTCTCGCCTTCAACTCCTCCAAGCCCTAAGGCACATGCTATAGTCCCTACTATTGTTCTGCATAAGAAAAGTCATGAATAAATCTGCCCTGGAATGAAGTAATATGGAGGCAGAGGTTTTGTTGGGTGCTGCTAACAAAATAAAAGAGGGTGCGTGTGGAAACCTCTAGACTTAAAAAAGGCAACCAGGAAATTGAACAGAGAGCCTTGACAAGCCTGAGGCATGGCTGAGAAAGAGCAAGCAAGCAAGGCTTGGTCCTCTCAGCCAAGAACCTGGGTCATGTTGGTTTCCTTCTGTATTCGCAGGAGCAGAGGACTCAGCACCTTTCTTTTGTACATCTGCAAAATTGCATCAGTACTACCTGTCTCCATCAGCTTTTCTTCCTCTTAACAGAATCCACCTGGAAGGCTGACACATTTGCAGAGCTGTCACTATTTTGACCAAAGGCTTTCCTGCACTTGAGGGCTAATTTGGAGCAAAAGCATTTAAAGTGTCATTGTTATTATTCTTGAGTAGCATCTGACTCTGGA